GTTAAAAAATCAGATTCCTTGATATCCTGTGGCTGTTGGAAATAGTTCAGCTTTGCTAAAGGTTGAAAAGAGAAAAAAAAATCCACCAATATTAAATTACTAGAAAAGATAGATCTAAGTAAATATTGTGCCAATACTTGTAAAAGGAACAACTATGAACAGTAGTTCATAGTTGTGCCAATACTTGTAAAAGGAACAACATGAACAGTACTAGTTTGTACTGTTTCATGGGAAACAGGTGTTAATACACAAATGTGACTTTCCAAAAAGCATGAAAACTGCTGAAGACGACTATCTTAATACGTGCTCTAATTTCTGTAAGATGCCCAAATTAGACACATGTGACATTTTAATGACAATATACTACCAATATGTAAGTTCACTAAAAGCTACATGAAATGGATTAAAAATAATTAAGGTTGGTAAAACTCAAAGTAAGTATGAAAAGGGAAGAGGCACCCTAAAAAGCCCAAACTTTCTATTGGTATCCCACAGTGATGCCCTCTTGACCCAGCAGTATTCAGTAGGATTACGATGTTAGAACGTATTAAATTATTACTACTAAAACACTAAGTCATAACATAGTAAATTATTAAGGACATACTACATAGACTCATCCTAATGGACTTAGAACAATAAACTTTTTAATACATGTGAATAAAATGTCTTACAAGGTTTGACAACTACAGATCATACCGACAACAGGAGTGAGTGGCAGTATCCTCAGTTACAGTAGTACCAAAAAGAATTTAGGTAGTCTAGTAGGTGTGGAGGGGAAGGGGGGAAAGAACATAAGCTCTCAAGGTAGTTCTGCTGTTCAAGGGCAGAGCAGATCCTCAGATGTACAGAGCAGCAAGCACAAATGAAAGCTTTTTATACCTGAATACAGCGTTAGTCAAGCAGTCAGCTAAATCTTTTAAGGAGATAAAGGCCAAAGGAGTATTAAGCTCCTACAAGGTTCACAAAAATAGGTGCCCAGAGCAGCTTTCTTATTGTTCAATTGAAGGTATACTCTTTAGACTGAAAAAGAAAGCATCAGTATTGTGCTACTCACAACCGTTTCTTTTCTTTGGAATGTAGTTCTTGATGCACTCTTCTATTATCGAAGCTGAATATTTGCTAACACAGATCAACAACATTACATAATGCAAAATATACCTGAAAACTGGAAGGAAAGGCCTTCTGCAGCAAAACTCAAGATATTCAAACTGCTTAAGTTTTCAGAGAAAAGACATATATAATTTTTTTATAGTGTAGCTTGCTCAAAAAAGCATGCTAGCCACTAAAGGCTATTTAATCTTGTAGAAATAGGCAAAAAAGAATTTCAGACAATTTAATTTGTCTGAAACCAGACAAACGTTAAAAAAAAAAAAACAAACACAAAACAGGAGTCAGGCTCATGGATGATGATTCTTGTAACTTTAAAATGCACTCATACTAGTTCTTCCACTGATTTAGAAGCTGAAAGAGCAGCAATATTCTCCTAGCACCTACAAAGACTAAAGACAAAGTTGTTACCTTGAAGAGCTAGTATATGAAACAGTAATGCTTTTAAAAGTACTTTAAGTATTTTGAAAATATCCAGTATTTCCAGCTGTGACCCCAAATTGATCTCTTCCTCTTAATGAATTAATTATCAATTGGATTAGCAAGACTGCCCGACTCGGTCAGCTACATGATCATTAGACTGAAGGACCCGTTAGGGATGTGGTGAGCAGTCCATGTGAAACTCCACCCTTTACACAAGACAGTGAAAAGGCAGTACTGGGAAAAATTGCAAAAGGAAGAAAGGGCCACAGAGGGCACAAAAGAAAGATAAGATCGGGTGTCATGAGCTACCAAGGTTAGAGGTACGCCAGAGTTGTGAACAGCTGTCAGATGGAGAACAACGGTATGAAACAGTAGAAAAAATAAAGCAATTGAAGGATGGCAATAGCCAGAAAAATAGGCAAGAAACATGACTGGGTGAAGCAAAGGCTGTTTTACCCTTCAGGAATGGTAGCTGAAATAGAGTACTACAGTCAAGAAAGAATAAGGACAGTCATAGAAAGAGCCATTCAGTGACAAGCAGAGGAAGAAAAAACCTGCATCTTCTAGAAGTATCATAAAGAAGTATTAGTAAAACTCAAACACTGCTCTGGTATCTGCTAGCAATGGTTTCAATGAGGTGAAGTCCACTTGTGCATGACAATCTCTTTGTTACTGGCCACGATAATTCATTAGGTTCAGAGCCTGTTCTCACTTGGCCTTTCCCAGGAGACCTGCTGGAGCTGGCTTGATTATATTCCTGGCAGTGGTATCTCACATCACCATCCATCCTGGAAAGCCTTCTTCCACAATCAGTTGGTGAGAACATATGTGTTTCTATGTTTCCTTCGGGAAGACCAATGGGGAGAAGGCTGTTTCTACCAAAAAACTGTATCATCCTTCAGGTGATCCCAAATTAAGTCTTTCCCAGATGTTCTTGCAACAATAAGCACAGAAAAGGAGAAGGCTACGTGAGCAGTGAATTCTGTTGTTCCCAGGTGTGCTACACCTAACACACACGTGCAATCAAACATCTAAGACTTGTTCAGTGAGCCTAATCACGTGATAGATAGGGGGCCCAAATATTAAATGGCCAGAAAAATCTGGCGCCATCAATGTGGACACAGGTGATACTTCCTTTGGATGAGATTACAAATTCAGAATCCTTCTAATCCTATTTTTATGATACTATGGGTGGTGTAGGAAAAGGATAAAATTTAGCTACTTCCAAGTTACAGGCTGGAATACCCAGGAGCCTGATGGCACTTTCAGCTGCGGCTAAACCCTCATTGAAATTCATCTTTACTCTGAGACCTACTGAAAATTGGAACAGGTGAAGTTCTAGCACTACTTATCGTACTATGAGGCTCTCCTTGTTTCTTTGCTCTTCCCTGTATGCAAAACATTCAGGCAACATCTGTGAAGAGATGAAAGCAGGACTAGATAGCAGGAAGCTATAACCCTGTTTTGACTAGTTGTTGGGCCAGTTAACCTCCTGAGCCCCTCCCAACCTAAAACATTCTATGATTTAGGTGAGAAGTAGATGGGACTGTGGGTCAAAACTCCCAGGCAAAAGACTCAAAAGACAAAATGGCAAATGTTCAAATGTGAGATCCTAGTGAATTGCAATGAATGCCAGAGTTGGACATCAAATCAGTCAAATGAAGTACAACGTGGAAAGCAGAAAGAGAAAAAAGTGTTAATGGCACGCCCTATAAGGGTATATGATTACTGGAGAAAAATAATGTATGCAAATAAGCATATGAAATAAAGAATCCAAGATAAAATAAAATCCTTTCTGAAAAGGGAAATAGTGGCATACTTCAAACAATGACCTTTGTTTGCTGCTCTAAGTGTAGCAAACTAAGTAAGGTATCTCAGATGCAGAAGCAATTGATAAAGGCTGATCTGTGTTTAGCCAGAGACCTGACCCTTAAACTGAGTGCAATGATTTTTTTTTTGTCTTTGGTAATGGGACCCTGATTCACTATGGTCTCTCTGGAACTGTAACAGCCCAAATAATTAGTAACAATTATAACATGGAAGTTTAAAAAAAAGATTTCCTGAGCAGAGGCAATCTATGAATGAAATGTGTGGAAAGAAAGGTTACTTACAGTCATCCAACTGCACACAGAACAGATCATGCCCACCAGGGACAGCAACGGTATCAGTAGGATAAGGGGTGTTACTTCTGAACACAAGTGACTTTTCCACACACACTTGACTCACAGACCTGCAGAGACAAGTGCCCCCGGCCACGAAAACTGTTAAAGAGGCTATTCTTGCCTAATTTCATATTTTACATTACTAAATGCCAGCACAGAACGCTAAAGTATTACTTTTCATCAGCTTACATGAGTTATGTACAATTTGCATTGATAATCAATTACAGAAAGCCTCTCTCATCATCATAGTAACTTTGTGGATACTCTTTATTTGTATATTTAGAAATCACTCCGAAATTCCCTGGAACAAAAAGTGGTAAAGAAATCCAGTGTCTGCATATGACAGCTCCTCCTCACAACCACAATCTGCAAGGACAGGCTTCACCCACAGACCACACTCCCCATCGCTGAAACTGCCGTCCTCGCCGACAGCGCCTCGCAGTCTATACCCGCTTTGCTGCCTCCCAATCACGCACTAAAGTTCTTTTTCCCTGCTCCCCACCAC